CTTGTGGGAGCTGGTGAATGGAACTGCTCTGCTTTAGCACGCGTAATGCCTACGAAAGCGAAGTGAAAGTCGGGCCGCACGATAGCATGATCAGAGTCAAGCTGTATACACCAGAGGTAAAGATAATCTTTAATTGACGCTCTTCATTGTTAACTGATAGTTACTTGGCCCAACTGGATCCACGACTGTCCTGCGGTTGGTGACTCGATGTACTGACCAGGGACACACAACGATCTGCACACAACTAAAACAGTCGTTCCCCGTTATCTGTACGCACAGCACCGACTCCAGATCTACCACCCAAATAAGTTTCTTCCCGATTTATTTGTCTAACTTGGGCGTCCATATCACCCACCAAGATTACTATACCTGTCCTTCATGCTGACCGAAGCAGTAGTAACAGATTTTGATAAAACCCGTCTTTCTCAGTCTCAGGACTGCTATTCGTTGGTGCGTATGCTGATACGACAAACAAACACCATTTACCGCATCGACCTGCGTTAATCTTATTTAAGCCAGACAACTAACTGTTTACTGGGATCCAGTCCAGTTAGGCGCTTTCAGCCGTGGGGCTGAGTACAACTCCCATACCGTGGGTATCATAGGCGACTGCGTTAGGATCACCGGATACCCGAAGAGCGGAATGTGGAACGTTGGAGCTCGTCCTAAGCGGCTTGAGGTGCACGACCGAAGTGAGGAAACAACAACAGTCAGAGACACAACATACATCAATAGAGAGGGAAATCAAGGTTTCAGCAAGGGATACCTATTGCCTAATTTGACACAGAGTACCCACATTAAAGGCTGTAATGTGGATCAGATCTTTTTAGGTTAGTAAGTTATTATTGTTTATTTTTATGGGCGAAAGTCTGGACACAGAATAGTGGCTAGGGGATTGGCAGATGGGTTGATCGCACTGCATTATTCGATGGGTGAGGATGGAGTGTGGGAGTAGGACGGTGAGCAAAGAGCTGCAAGAGCGAATGACACTTGCCGGTTGTCCAATCCGAAAAAGGGGGTTGGTTGAAATACCCCATCGTGAGCCTTTGACTCAAAATTCTGATTCATAAGGCAGTAAGAGGATGTAGAGTTTTGTACCGGGACCCTGTCCCTAGCCTCTGTCTTAGAGTCTGGACCGTGAGGCAGCAGCTGTTGGGGTTTTCTTGGGGACCCTTTCCGTAGCCAATGACTCAATAGTCTGGCCCACTTGGCTGTAGGAGGTCGACCTGGCCCGAGGAAGCAGGGAGTATGGTACTACCGTCTCACTCCTAGCGCAGCTGCGCAGAGCAGGGGACTTTTGAGCACCACCAGACTCTTTGGTTATAGAAGTATTTCGACCGGCAGTCACGTTTAACCGTTGGGTCATCGGAGTGTGCGGGTTTTAGGTCCGGTCTTTTCTAACCTATCCTTCCTCAAGGAAAGGCACCATTGTCGCTGCTGCTTCCGTAAATGAAGGTGTGTTGGCCGCCTCACTGCACACTCCTGTAGCAGATGACAGGTCAAACTACAGTAGTTCGACTGGCCGGTTGGCTACAGAGTGCAGGTAGACATTTATCTCCACCAAAATCAGTCTGTATGAGTGACGAAAGATATATTTTCGTAAGATATATTTCAATAAAACATCACACGGAGAGTGAACTTATTCCAGACACCTAATGTAGCGTGTTCGGATGAAGAGTATGTACAACATAAGTGAACTGAGAGACTGGTTGACACGAAACCCTCCTGGTATCAATCGAATACGGTGCCATTCGGTTGCAGTTGATTCATCAGCAAAGGGAGTACTTGCAATCGGACAGGAAAGCGTTCAGCTATAGCACTCTTCCAGTGTCTAGCAGCCATGCACCCGAAGGAAGCACGAGGGTTGGGATACTGCCAGGTTGCCCAAGCCTAGACAGGGGAAGTCGAGAGGCGGAGGTGGGATTCGAACCACGGACCTCCCGGTCCGTAAATTCGCGCTCTTACTACTTGGGCCATCTAGGACAGGTACAAATACCGGTATCCTTCATTTCAAACAGAAGACTTCTCTCTTGAATACAAGGCCAAGCAAATTCGATTTAAGGTAGCGCATCGGAAGGAAAACAACGATGGCAAGCTTCTGGACCAGGAGATCTGAACAGTAAACTACACTAGTTATGTGCATTCACTCTACATATCGCATCCTAGGGCATCACCAGGGGAAGCCTTCATAACTGAAGCCCGTGTCCAGAGGACCTTAATATGTTTTCACGTAAATCTATAACCACGCTAACAACTGATTTGCAACCACTTTCACTGCAGCTAGTTGGCCATGATAAGAAGAGTCAACAGTAGGTGAAGTCCCATTATCTGCCTTCCTCAATATCTAAAAATTTTCTCCAGGAAAGCTTGGAATTCGAATCTTAAGGACGCCTATTTTACTCGTGCCTGAGTTCATCAGTGTTAGTTAATTTCAAGCTTGACAGGAATCCGAAAAACTTCAAATGATGAGAACAAACACATTCCAGTTTGAATAATGACTCTGACCCAACACCTAGAACGATATTTCAAAATTATGGTTGGTGACCCATCAGTCGGGACCAAGTTAACCCTGAGATCGTCACTACATATAGGTCACTCGGTTTAACCTGAGGACTACAAATGTTATCGACAATAAACCAGCATTTCACAAATTAATTGTCCATCACAAACCAGCATATGAGTTACTATCAGTACACAATCGGCGCAGAAACAAAATGTTCTCCAGGCCGAAACTAGCGTAAGCGTGCGTACAAAAGACTAATGAGTCTTATGGCATGCCTCCATCTCTCAACGAATAAGTTGTCACGGGGAATTCAATCAATAAGGATCAATAAGGATCACCTCGGATCGGTTAATTATACAAGCCCTTTTGGCACCAAGGAATTCGGTGCGGTTCGCCCAGTCATTCAAATAGGGGATGATTACGTTCTGTTCGCACAAATTGATATTTTTACCCAGGTATATAGAAATCAGACAATACTGTTTGAAAGATAGGCGGACTAGAACACACTAAGACCAAGTGGCTGGCTGTAGAGAAAAGACACTTCAAAACAAGCGGTAAACCAGGTGAGCAGCATAGGACTACCTAGTGTAGCTAGGGTCGTCTAGATACAATGAAGAGATCAGCAATTAGCTCTGGCATTAAAACTCAACAGGATAAAAAATCCCAGTCAAATGTGGGGAAATATCCTACTGGTCTGAGCTTAGACCGTATCCTACGGAATAAATACGGGAACAGTACTTGTTCCAATTAATGCTTCGCCTCATCTCACTCCTTGTTTTTGTGAGTTTGGACCCTCATAGTCCAATGAGAAAGGCTGTCTCTGTTCAACCGGAGATGAATGGTTTACCAATGCTACACTCTGTTGTCTTGTTACGGCACCCTAAATCAAAAGTTATTATCACAGGATGCTGCCGGATCAACTACAGACTCCCCAAAATGCCTCAGTTTTAACTGGTCATTTGCAAGAAATTGTTCCTGGTTATCTCAAGATGTCCCGAAACGTTATTGCCCTCACTCTTCTCCCCGCTCCGCTGAAAACATCCTACATTCTCAACTCCCTGCTTTCACAAAACTCTGACTGACTTTATGCCGTTAAGTGTTCGCGTCTGAGGATCCTTACCAATGGGTGTCCCAAATTCTCGGGTAAGGACCAGAAGAACAATTACGATGAGCCGCAAGCTACAGAACAACTGATGTCAACTTCAAAATGAGTTCCAGTTGGTTGAGAACATGAGAAGGCCGGTCCGTCCAAATTAGGACGGGCAGGTAGCACTTGAAGAGGCCGTGCGCGGACGGCCGTAAAAGGTACTTTTATTGGCAAAACAATGACATGGGATTGAATGGAATTCAGCATAACCCCCTCGAAAGTACACGTCACAGGGTATCAACTTGGTCAATCGAACATTGTATGCACAGTATATCCCTCCCCCTGCTAACAACCAACGCCCGAGAGGAACGTGCTTGAGTAAACCAAACTCCCTAGAACCTTGGAATGTACCAAGAAATGCCGTAATTACATATAAGGAACGCATCTGAGCAGCTACATTTGTTACTCACAATAAGGTGTGAGAGAACCACGCTCCATTTGCAACCGCTCATTGAAAGCCGCATGGGAAAGCAAAGCCAAAATGTGAACCGTTGAAATTTTAGGTAAAACCACAAAATTTACTAAATATGCGGACGTTTCATACATTGGTACTGATAAATAAACGTCACACATCCCGGAATGTCCTGTTTTTTACAACTAGTTTGGACTGGCCTAAAGTGTGGCCTGCACTATGTCGGCATACAACATTACTCTTCAGAAGACCGAAATAAAGTTGGTTATTAATTTACTGAACAGCTCCTTGGGAGACGCGTTGGAAAGACTAAAGTCGCGAGCTGACGTAGAGCGGGAAAACGATGACAGAACAACCGAACGACACGGAAAATCTACAACACATATGAGGATTTGTGGACACGCATTTGCATCGCTTTCATCTTATTGTCCACGTTCGACAAAATCCTGTACATCTGACCTGTTATTCGCGTTCAAAAAATTCCGATTTTTCCCAATGACAAGGGCATATATATCCCATTAAACTACTTTACAACCCGATCATCACACTAAAGATATTTATTTAGTCACACAAATACTTGATCCATCCCAGCTAGCCCGACAGAGACACCTAATACGATTTCGAAATTCCGCCTTCTATCTACCAGAACTGTTCTACTGTACAACTTCCCATTTTTCTCCGGACCAATCAAATTTCGTTACTTAATTTCAGTGTTCAGTTTGGAAAATAAGCTTGTGAATTTCCCAGTCACGGACAAGTGATCTTAATTTTTTTTTCTAAAAATGTGTCATTATAATCAAACAAACAAAAAAGGTGCGACGTACATCACCACGGCGACGATGCTCGTTCAACGACAGTCCAAGGTTCTGTATTTCTGAACACAAGTCTTGTATGGTTTTGCGCTCCTCATTGGTACCAGTCAAGTCCGTTAGTCGACGAGCAGCACTCAGTAACTGTTGCAGAGCTTTCTCACCGGCACTGTCCACAACGAACTGACAATCGGGACAGAAAGAAAGCATGTGGTCGATAATGATTAGCGAAACAGTGCAACTGAAAAAAAATGTTTCAGCCTGTTCACACAAACAGTTACATGAAAGACTTAAACCTCCGAATCGACTAACAGGCCAAATAAATAATTCTTGAATCTGTTGGCCTGAGTATCACCCGGTCAATGCAGAACTGCGAACTAGGTTTATTCCGAACCCATTGTCCAAGTTCATTGGAGAGATCCACTAGGGTCTCCATATATCCGAGCACAAGGAATTTGACTGTAACGCTCACTGGAATTCATAGTCCGGTTTTATCATACGCTGGACTGGCGTATTGTTTGGAGTCGATGCGAGATGAAATCTGGGTGGGAAAAACCGGCTGAGATATACGTTGAACCTGTGTTGGCACGAGATGGCTCAAGTGGTTAGAGCGCGAATTCACTGGCCCGAAGGTCCGTGGTTCGAACCCGACCTCCGCCACTCGACTTCCCCTGTCTAGGCTTGGGCAACCTGACAGTATCCCAGCCCTCGTGCAACCTTCAGATGGCATGGCAGCTAGGCACCGAAAGGGTGCTACAGCTGGACGAATTTTGTGTGTGTTGGCACACATTAAGGATCTTAGTTAAAAAGTACACATCGGGTAACGTGACAGAATAGCGTATCTTCAATATAGCAATCACCCAAAATATGTGACCAAATAACTCAAACCCCAGCATGAATGTTGAAGGGAACTCAATGGACACACAGACGGTTTATGGTTCATATATAATATTCCGTGAACAGTGTATAAAACCAGGAAGACAATCTGATATAAAAAAACAGAGGTCAGCAAATCTGTCAAGCGAACACTACACAGCAGCAGCACGGAACCACTGTGGTAAGTGCGGAAAACATTTAGAACGCCTGTGAACACGAAACAGCTGTCGAACCTTGCAATGACCACGGCTAGGTAGACTTTCCGACACCTCTAGAATATCGACGAAATAGTAACTAGTTTGTGTGCGATGAGTAACTGTATTCGTCAATTCACACGGAAAAAATGAGTCTGGTCCGACGAAGCAAATTAGCCATTGAACTCAAATGTAATATATATACTGTTTACAGTTACTCAAACCTGGAGGTAAGTTTCGTTGTAGTGGTGGTGCTTGTGTTTGAATTAGTCCTGCCACCGAGTCATTTAGGGTCAGCCTAGGTCATTCCGCTCACATAGAGGACACTACTGACACGCCAGCCAGATCACAGAGGGGACTAAGACAGATTCCTATTCTTCCAGGATCATGCTACCCGAGTATCAACGGTGAAGGATACTAGAGCCTAAAAAATATGAATCAATCTTCTTTCTGACTGCTTCAAACGTCTGGGGACAACTCATTTATTGAGGAATCATGTAAAACGTACAACACAATGACTCGCTTAGAATGGGTCTGGTTCGGTCGCAAACAATTACATTCTTTGTGAGCAGAACTCGACAGTGGTTGTCTGTGAAAGGAAGGTCCCTTTGTGAAAAAAATCTGACCTTTGCCAGAAAACTGCATAGTGGAAATAATAAAAACGTAACTGGCAGGTAGCATCCACCAACAGAGAAATTCAGAACCAGATAGAAATCAGGTTCATCAAACGGAACATTAATTAACTATAGGCGATGGAAACAGGGCAACTGGTGGTTGAAAAATACAAACCTCCAGTTTATCGTCAGAAGGACACAAGAGGGTTAGTCATGACGTTGACGATCATCAGCTATCAATCTGTTAGGTTGATGAGAGTCAGGTCATATGTTAGGGTGTGACGCATAAGTACAAAGTGGTGCGACTTCTGCGGTAGCTCACCCGGCGTGCAGGAAATACGTGGCTCTATTTGTTTATCATTTCACTCGTAACGTTTAACAGTGGCCACGTCAACGCCACGATAAATATTGTTCTCACGCGCTTTCTTCCAACAAAATCCATTTGGAACGTTTTTTTCGGTGCGCTTAAATTACAATGATTAGGTTCTGATATCACTCCCCACATTATTCGGACAAGAAGCAGAACTCTCATTGCGAAGGCCTCTTCTAATTCTCATAAGACGTGATTCTCAACATATAATTTTGCAGAATGTGCAGTAAAGCAATGGGCCTTATTAAGGTATATGTGTCGACCTTAAAAACCGTCAGTCGATTGCGCATCACTCCTAGTGTTCCCATCGCCCTTGTTTGGTGGCTGTTTGACAGTAAGACAAGTTACTCGCCATCCCTTCTGCATAAAGTCCGAACATTTCAAATTGAAACAGCAGTAACGGCAGCATTGTGCATTGCGCAACCTTCCGCTCGATCATTATACGGTTCAGGGACACCATTTCCCATTTTTATACTCAGTTGGCTGTCTACAATGTCACCAGAATTATCAAGTTTTTCAGGTACTTTATTGTGCTAGATATTGATGTGCAATTTTGGCTGTTGTGTTTATTTGGTTGTTCGAGTCCGAAAAGAGATGCACAACCCCCCTCACGAACATGGACTCGTCCCTGGGGTCTACTAAAAGGCTGTTTTCACCTGTTAATTAAATGCAATTTACTCCTGATAGAGGTTACCATAAGGTCCAGTATGATCAACCAAGGCCACTGAATTAGTCCATACATGTTTGTCTGACTGTTTTACATCAGGAACCTAACCTTTTTCAATTCTCACAGATTTCTTCGGCTAAAAGGTTCACTCAACCTCTCACACATAAAAACAAACATCAACAACGTGCGGATTGCACTGCAGGCGACTAGTCAATATGCCGGAAATTTGGGGTGAAGAGGAAGATACTGGTAGTTGTGGTGGTCACATAGTGTTTCACAGTGCAGATGGTCTGAGTTTCTCCTAAACGGACAGACAAATATGGGCCTAGACACAGGCGTACATAACACAATACAGGACAAACAAACGAGCCGTTCAGTCAAACCAGTCACGTGAAGAGAAATAGCTGGAAAGGTGGGGGAGTCGTATATGGGAACAGAAGCACTTTCATGAACTATACGCAAGAAAGATGTGCAGCGCTTTGGCCTAAAGGAGGATCACAACGTGACACTTGTTTATTAGGGGCACAAACGATGAACTAATCTGAAAATTATTTTTACAATCGGGAAGTTGAGTACGCAGATTCATCCTACACTGGTGCTACGGGCAAAACGTTTTTCTCCGGCTCGAATAAACAGAATATTGCATCGAACACAAAGCTGCTAGAGGTACACCACGGAGAAAGGCAGGACAGTCCTAGACTACCGAAATTCGTTGGAAAGTACAGCAATTTCGAGGATATTTGACTCGTCAATCAGCGTTCGAAGTGAACCGCCACTGCTTGATTCGCAATTGAATTACTCGTGTTACCACTGTTTTATGGACAGCCACTTGGTGCAGTTCAGGTACTTTTCTGGAGGTTTATGGCTGTGTTTGCATGAACAAAGCCTTTCCTAAATGAAAAATATGAAATGCACTAAGTTGGTGGAGGAATGTGCTGGCTGTCATCGATCAGAAGCTATTGGAATTCGGTGGCATAAGCCAGACCGTATTTAAAATAAGCTGCACTCTCTTTATGCTTATGTTCGCCTACGGGCCACACCAGTCTTACAACCTTGTCTAACCATCACGTAATCAACATGACTCAACCGTATAACCTCTGTGCCTCCATTTACTAATTCACTCGTGAATATACTTAAGCAAGCAAATGGTTTCAGGCGGCTATCACAAAAGTTCGCTAACCGCAATGGTCAGCCGCAAAAGAACACATTCTCCCACTAACTTCTTTCTTACCCCAAATTCAAAATTCAGCATTCTGAAGGTGTTCTTGGCATAAAGGATGAACTGCACAAGAATGCTGGTTAAAAAATCGTTCGAAGAACCGTAGAAGAGTGAACATAAAGGATGAAATCACGTGGGTACGACGGACACGGAGCTGTGCATATTGTAACACAAGGACACGTGATCATTTGGCCTTGAAAGCACAAAGACACTATCCCCTGTGTCCTGCAGCTGTTTTCCGCGCCTGGCAATTTGCTTGAAAATATCTCGTCACCAAATGAGGACACACTACCAGTGAGCGGTTGGTGACTCCCAACCAGCTTAAAATGATATTATGGGAATAATACCAAATCCGCCCCGTTACGGCTGTTCCGTTAGGCAAGAGCGTCTTGAATCGGTACAACACTACACATAAGGCGCTAGATGGATTGCATGTGACGCACGCTGGTGTCTGCAATATCTGTCAATCCTGTCTTGCTTCGTAGAATGTTTCGGTCTCATGGAGGACTTTCTAAGGACACGTCCTTATCACAGCTCATGTAACCAAAAACAGGTGGGTTAAATTGGTAGCACGAAGGACCCAGATCAATCGACGGAATCGGGAGTCCGTGCGGAACGATGCACTCATACAAACGTCCGAGCAAGTTGAAAAAGTCCGGTCGCACATCCCCCTGAGGTTCCACCTAATAAAGCCACTATACGGGCCTAATATCACTGAAATCGCAAAACAAAGGAATGTTTTGTTTCACGTCCTTCACTGCACTGAGAACTACCAGAGTTGTGGGAAAAAAACGAATTTTGAACGAAACTGTGTGTCTTCAGAGCCACGCTATTCCAAGAAGCGAGCTGTTTCCGTCAGTACCAGGAGGGTTATTTTCATGGAGAGCCACTGATTTTCAACAAACGAAGGACCTGAAAATTTCATATAACTGCTACCTGAGACCTAAACCCCTGATCCTAAGGATTCCAACGACATCAAGCACGTGGTCATCATCAATTGACTGCTGCATGTCCGTAAACGAGTACATTGTCATGGGTGTGAATAACTGCAGCACCAGCTATGGCTGTGAGGTTAGATTGGTTCGAACGTGCACTACGCCATACGAATCATCGAGCAAACAAAGTACTGTTTCATTCCCCAAAGTGAAGCCGAACAACCGAGGTAAGCTTGATAAATGTATTATCCCTGTTGAAGATCAGCAGCACAGCGCACCTCATGAACCTTCAGGATGACTGGAATCTGCAATCTCCAGGCTAGTAGATGAAAGAAAACTGTTCGGCCACAAGCGATCGAACAGCAGCGTCACTAAATCGCAAACGATATAGTGCACGGGAAACAGTCAAAAATAGGAGGAAACCAGTACCATCGGCATGTCGACAGAGGGGATCTCGTCACATCCACACAAAAACTTTCGCACATGTCAGTCACTAAAGGAGACATGAATCCGTACGCTCCTGTCATCCACTTGCGTCAAAAACTGAGATGGTCGAAGGCGAATAGGCCGTAAGTTAGTAGACAGTCATATAGGAAAACGTTGGTACAACTATGACGAGACCACCTGGGAAAAACATGCAGGGTGAAACTATGTACCTAAGACAGGTAGCAAACAAGATGCATAGCTCTGTTCTCGAGACATGATGCAGAATAATTCTAAACACCGCTGGGTGTCATAGAGCCAAGACATCTAAAAGAAGGACAATGAAGTATTCTTCATAAAAAAAGGTCTTTGCCGAGAAGAGCCAAAATGCACTTAACTTAGGCAAAATTTACTATCCTTTTACAGGAGAATATAAACACGATCCATCCATATGTAGAAGCAACTCAGAAAGTCCAATTCTTGCTAACTGAAGGTGGTCACGTGCGCATGTGGGAACATTATCCGGCTGCAAAGAAGTTGTACTGGTTAGGCGACTAGTAAACCCACAAAATGACAGCTTGTGAAGCAGATTGTTGCATTTTCGGCAGCCGCAATACGGAGTTGAAAAAAGCTTGCCAAGAGCGAACGAAATCGGTAGATAGTGAGGTCTACCAAGATCTGTGAATAAAAAAGGTTACCCAAATTTTGACTAGGAATTTGGCACTCGCAATAAATAAAACTGAAGTGTACTAACAAGTGAACTATTTTCGAAAGTGGCGGTCTGAACGAACCCGACAAAAGTGGAGCAAAACAATATTTGAGGGATGACAAATCAACGAAGCTCAGCTGATCAGTGTATGAAGAATGCCGGTATGAAGAGTGCCGGTGATGAGATTCGAACGAAAGATACGGCTTTTCAGAAACACAGGTCACTTACTCCTGGATTGCTGAGCCAATCCTCGACGAACTGCAAACGACTATCGAAAGTGGCTTTAGTGACATGCAGAGCTGCCAAATCATCGTCAAACAGTTCGGACGCATCAGTTTCCGTCAGCTGAAGTCCACGGATTATTTCCTGTATTTCATCGGACATTTCGGAGACGAGAAAATCACGATTCGCCCGGCATTCGGCTGCACCTGGGAGGCCTGAAAAAGGAGACAATCATGGGAAGGCATGTAACCGATAATTGGCGCGAACTCAGTTGAAAAGCTTCAAGGACTCCCTCTACCCACGACAGGCATGGGTCGATGAGGGGTTAGAGCATAGAGCTAAACACCGACCTCATGATGGAATTAAGTGGTCAATCAAGCCTTGGCTGTTTAAGGCTAGGTGATCTGGCAGTAGCTGGACCACTGTACTTCTTGCAGAGCGTGCGACAGCTATATACCAGATGATCACCAGAGCCGAGCATTTTCGCTTAAATTCATTTGCATAGCGCTTTAGGCCAAGATAAGTCTACTGTTGATTCGCAAGCAATTGATCTCAAAGATTTGGATGGTTGAATGCGCTTAGGGGTGATCCAGCAGTGGACCAGCCTCTGAACTTCTCAAGAGTAACGTGGAAGCAGCACATTCCAAGGACATCAAAAATGAACGAGTTAATATAGGATAGATTAAGTCAGTTCATGAAAATGTCCTACGTAAAAATACCACCAAATCTTATACTGGCACCCTCCCCTAGGAAAATAACAGCTCTCAGGAGACATCAATTTTAGTTGTACAGATTAGTTGGATATGAAACTCCCAGTCGGGAAGGACCATCTCGTCAGCCCTTTGGGGCAGACCTCCAATATGAGAACTGTATGAATCGTTGGGGTCTGGAAACTCCAAAGAAACAAAACAAACTAGTGGATGAACGTAGAGGGCACATATTTATTAAAACACCAACCAACAAAGTAGCCTACTATTGTCAAATATGGATTTCACGAGGAGCACGAAGAAATGTTGCGTTGTGGTCTGAACGCCTGTTTTGTTCACAGTAAGGAGCCACCCAATGCGTGCTTGAGGAGGAAGTTAAAAGAAATTGAGGATCCAAATCCCAAGACTCTTCACAAGTTCCGAGATACGGGCGTCGTTGTTGACGAGTTTTGGTGGCGCCCCACCAAAATGCGTGGGGTCACATAACGACTCAGGGTATGTGGAATAAATGACTGCATGAAAGAAACAGATGGCTGCTGGAACTTGAGATTATCTTCAAGAATACGTTGAAGGCTGAAGCCCCGGATGACACTCCATGCCATAGAAACTCCTCTTCGAAGGGATTGTATTGTTCTTCGGGGACACGGAAATCCAGCGATTTCTCACAATACTGATACCCAACGAGTCAACTGGTTTGCATCGGGAAGAAAAGTGAGAATGACGGACCCAATCGAAGGGTTGAAGTCTTCAGCATCCCCGTCCTTAACATCAGCATTGACGACAACATTTGTGTTGGCACTAATGCTTCACTGCCACACAAGCGCAGAACAACTATTTCAAAAAAAACCCTAAACTGAGAAAAACGGACAGGGTGCCTTAACAAAAGCACTCCGGAACGCCTAAGCATCCAAACAAGTGGATACGAGCACCCAAAGACCCACGCACACTATGCTGAAGCAGCCTAGCGAGTTGAGGCTTTCAACCTGCACGACCCGATCTCAACTAAATTGATCGAAATCATCCTGGAGGAGTTAAACTAACAGAAATAAATGCCTTTAGCTCAATGTGATAAACAACTTCTAGTATGCAAATGATCAAGCCATTTTAGATACTGGGTCTTTGAATAATTCTGCCATGCAGTGACATCATGAAAAGTAAACCAAGCTGAAAGGTCACTTTCCAAAAGTCCACAGCATATATTCATAAGACATCCCACCACTGGAGACACCACCGCTCACTTCTCTAGAGCTTGCTGCTTTGGGCCTGAAGAAAAACGAAGGATGGATGCCTCTAATGGCCAACTCAATTGTGTCGGTACCTGCCACCTCCTGGGATGAGGATCCAAGAGGAGCCAACCCAACGACTGGTGACCCAGACCAATTGAATCTGCCATGCAGCCACCGACGGTCTCGCAGTACCGCAGCTCGCTCACGCCACACCTTATCGTCGAGAAAATTGGGCTCTTTCACGGTGAGGTTTGCTTACCTCAGCAACACACTGAGCAATACCAGATGCTTAGGCGACATCCACAGTCTCTCCAATCTTGTGTACCAGTGGACAAGGTTCGGATAAACGCAGTCTCTTGGCCCTCTAGGCTGACGTTGGAGCAAATAAGGCATCCGTTCCTTACAAATTGAACGTAGTCTTACACTAACAATTGCTACTCTAGAGAACTTGAGCCAAATGCTCGGTCTGGGACTCCAAACGTCCTATCGCATAGATTAGAGCTGCCTGGTGATACCTCAGTCCATATGCAATCATGAATTATGCCAAAAATGCGGTTTCATGCCACATCGGCCGGCCCGACTTGGACGTTGAGCATGGACAGACAAGAGGAAATTGGGCCCTTTCACGGTGAGGTTTGCTTACCTCAGCAACACACTGAGCAATACCAGATGTACCAGTGGACAAGGTTCGGATAAACGCAGTCTCTTGGCCCTCTAGGCTGACGTTGGAGCAAATAAGGCATCCGTTCCTTACAAATTGAACGTCGTCTTACATCAACAATCGCTACTCTAAAGAACTTGAGCCAAATGCTCGGTCTGTGACTCCAAACGTCCTATCGCATAGATTAGAGCTGCCTGGTGATACCTCAGTCCATATGCAATCATGAATTATGCCAAAAATGCGGTTTTATGCCACATCGGCCGGTCCGACTTGGACGTTGAGCATGGACAAGCAGACAAGAGGAAACATGAGAATGCTGACGCCACCACCTTTCTTCAGCGTTCTATCTTCCCTTCCCTCCCGTTCCATTTGATGAGCACTACTCCGCACAGCCCAGTAAGCACCTTCGTCGGACACACCACCGCTCACATCAGCTGCCCCAATTTCATAAGCTATATTCCGACCCCCGCTTCTACTGCAGGCCTTTAGTGTTCGAGCCCTTAACCAAACTGGCTAACAAACAGCACTTACATGGGTGACAGACATCTTCTGCAGAACCCAAGATCCACTCATAATAAATGAACACTAAGAACCATCCCTGCTTAAGCCCTAGCAGCTTCAGATGATTCCCCAGCTGCCGTTACTAGTTGCGCCAGTATTGGCGCTTGTCTATCCACTCCCGTAAAGACTCGCACCGGTCGAAATACTAATGGTGCTTTGTTCACAGTTTCACACACTAACCAACTCTAGTGTACTCTGTAAAAGGCACTTCTTGTTGACCTGAATCCATATATAGACCTAATCAGAGATTTCAACGCACAAACGGGGCGCTACAGTTCATCCGAGGTGCGATTTGGCGAACAGTATAGTTTATACCCAAGGTGTAATAATAGCTGGAACTACTCGACTCTCGCAACAATACCCAAGGAGTAATGATGGTGGAGGACGCCTATTATAACTGTGCTTATCACCAGTTTTACCTCAACAATACTGGGTATAGTTGAGGAGGATCCCATACTTTGAGTCACATACTTAGGGACCACAACGACCTATCCTAATGTTTCTCCATAACTAGCGGGAAGTGTTACCTTCCCATTCTTGTTCAATTTTGCCGCTGACGCCCGAGAATTCAGGTAGCTAAATTACACCTGGGGGATAATTGGTAGACTAATATAATGCAGAAGACATTGTACTATTATGAACGATCATACCTCCGCACAGACCACTCTAAAAAATACCAGGGGTGGTCCTCTTTCAATCTTCAAAATGCAAGGTCGCACTTCATGACTTTCCACTCCCATATACCTACGCTGTTGTTGAGTTTGCTGATAGGTTTACTCATCGTGACAGATACATAGGCTGTGAATACACTGTGACAGATGACGTCAGTGCGAGCAAACTCAATCCTCTTCTATGGCTGTAAAAATTCACCTTTTAAATCTGAAATGTCTTCGGATGTTTGATCAAGGGTAACTCCGTAGTATAAAAGCAAGATGTGCGGTGAAATGGTCCACAGGTCGACAGCAGCAGTAATGGCAGCTGTAAAAGCCGCGTACTTGTTGTACATTGATCATAGCCGCCACAGATTCGTTCACTGATGATTTGAGGTAGCGTAGGAAGTGGTAGTTGATATTATCGATACGCAACTACAGTGGTCATTTAAGAGAATAGGAAGGGAGCTATGTACTGAAGGCAATCGCTTGCATGCATGGGCGCCACTGCGGGCTCCACTGGACCATGTCTGACAATGACTGTGACCATCCGTCTCGCGCTCCCCATCCAGGGAGACGGAAATGACCAGTGCAGCTGAGTTTGCTGGTAACGACTAATAGTTTGCTACCAGGCAATTCTATTACCTCCACAGTCTCGTTCCCACCCTTCGCGAGGTTGTGCGAAAAGAGCTCTTTGAGGAAGTCGGTCGACTGGCATACGGAACACACGACCAAGTCAGCGCAACCTGTAGAGTGTGGTCAGTTTATCCATCGTGAGTTACCTGTTCCTAAAACCCTTCGACGTACTTCAGCATTGCTGATACGGTGTTCATATCAAACTCGGGCAATGCTCCGAAAACAAATTTCGAAAGTTTTGACGTCCTCGGCATGTCGCGGCCAGGTTTCTGACCCGCATAACAATATACAGCGCATCGCAACGTTGTAGACCCGACCCTTGACGGACAAACTGGTCATGTTTACACCATGGGTGATGAAGGTTCACGAAAGCTGCCCTGACCTTCCAAATCTTGATGGGAACATCACCCTTCGTGCGACCACCGGGCTTGATACAACTATCCAGGTAGACAAGGTTGTCTATTACCTCAGTCGTCTCATCCGCAAGCATGAGGTTAGGGTTCGAGCCCACCCAATCTCGAAGCAGCACTTTACACTTTGCAAGTGTGAAGTGCATTCAAAAGGATGAGATAGAATTATTCATATTATTTAATACTGTTTGAATTACCACGAAGTCCGATCCAAGAAGAGCCATGTCGTCCGCATACTCGATATCTGTGACCTGATGCCGTAGGAAGATTCCAACCCCACAGGTATTAGAGTCTGATAGTGAGTCTTTCATAATCGTATTAATGACGAAGTTGGGGCGGAAAAATAAAAGAAGACAGCCTTGTC